TGGGTTTTGTCATCTTTTTGCATATGATAAGAAAGGATAGAGTGTTGGAAGAAGTAAGTAGCGAATGGGAGTGAGTATAGGTATGAGGAGAGTATTGGGTGGTGAGAGAGTGTGGTTAGTAGGAAAGGGAGGAATGGAGTATAGAAGGAAAAAGATATAAAATATTGGGGAGGGAGTTTAACTAATTGTTATACTTTAGTTTTTCAGTTTTTAAATTTTATCTTATTGAGTTATGTATACTCATTACCTTTATTTCCAGATGCATTGAGACAAGAATCGGGATGCTTAACAACAGAGCACCATACCTAAAAGAGAAATGATTGTAATATTGTATACTTCAATTGAGATGTAATAGTACAACTAATCATGTCAAAGTAGTGGTTGGACTTTCATGTGTTTGGTTATGTTTGTTGAGTTGATTTTGACTCTAATAATGTATTCGTTGTAAAGAGATTTGTCTACCTCATGGCTAATTGCTAAGAAAATTAGTTGAATTTTCTAAATGCAGTGTGTTGGGATAGGATAGTGAGATATTTTATCTTAATGTAGTCATGATAGGAAATGGACTGTCACAGTTGGTATCAGAGCATAATCCTAGGGATAGATATCTATGTAATAGATTATAACATCCTTTATAAATCAAGGAAAAGAAAACTAATATAGGTCGTTACGATGCAGGTAGACAAGGAGAGGCGATGAAAAAGGGTAGAGGCTGACCCCAATGGGGATCGACACCAGCCCCTCAGGGGACATCGACAGCACCTTAGGGGGCTCTGTCATTCCAGCAAGTGCCATTTTTGCCTTCCAAGGATCGCTCCCATTCCCAACAGTGTCACCCACCACCCATCATAGACTGCCTACTACGTTCCAGATACTGCCCATGGGACATACCACTGGCCATCAGGATGACTTCAACTGGTTGTGCAGGGTGGTAGAGAATCTAACCACAATGATTAGGGAGAAAGAGTTATGGCCAGAGTCATCCTTCTAGATGCATAAGAGCATTGGCCAGGGTGAGGTGGATACGAGTAATATTGACAAATACCAAAGGTTGAACCCCCCGATATTCAATGGAGGTTCTGACCCACTAGTGGTAGAGGATTGGATCAAGGAAACTGAGAAGCTATTTGATGTGATAGAGGTAACAGTCGAGCAAAAAGTATAGCTAGCTACCTTGATGTTAAGAGGATCTGCGGAACATTGGTGGAATTTGAAGAAAAGAGTCTTAATTTCTCCAGTAACCTGGAAAGTGTTCCTAAAGGCCTTCAATACTAAATATTTTTTTGATTTTCTCAAGTAGAACAAAGAGATCGAATTCACAGAGCTGCGTCAATAAAAGTTGTCAGTGACGGAGTATGTAGAAATGTATATAGAATTGGGTCGTTTTACTCTGAAAGTTATTATGAATGAGCTGAAGAAGGTCAAGAGATTTGAAAAGGGGCTGAGACTGGAGTTGTATCATCAGGTAGCAGTGTTCGCCTTACCTGCTTATCAGACAGTATTAGAGAAGACACAATTGGTAGAAACTTTATATAAGGAGCAGATAGAGTATAGTAGAGGAACCCCTAGTTATAAGCGGATACTACCACTCTCTGTTCTGATGAAGAAGAGGTAGAGAACAGTTTAGGATTTGACTCCAGAACATTAGATATTGTCGAAGAATGTAGATTGTACGTATTGTGGTAAGAGTCATGGGGATAAACCATGCACAATTTCTAGTTGAGGATGTTATAGATGTGGCAATACTCAGCATTCGGTGCAAGATTGTCCCATACTCAAGGAGCGCAGCAGATCAATGGTTTTAGGTAGAGTATTTGCCCTAACATCACAGGATGCAGAGGTCACCCCAGAGGTTCAAGGTACACTTTACATATCAAATTTTTTTGCTAAAGCTCTAATTAATCCAAGGGCAACATATTTATTCACCTCGCATAACATCTAAACTGAAGGTAGAGCTAGTAAGGTTAGAGGGCATGTTCATGGTATTCGTGCCAACTAGCATCATCATGTATACTGATGTAATATATAGGTCATGTAAGGTAGAAATAGTGGGTAGGGAACTGGGAGTGAACTTACTTTTGTTGGATATTAAGGACTTTGATGTAATATTGGGGGGATAGAATTGGCTAACTGCACATCATACAACATGTAAATTACTTTTATAAGAAAGTTATATTGAATTTCTTAACGAAGGAACC